GTATTGATGTCTGTTGGCAAGGTAGGATTTGAAATATGTAAGTGCATGGCCTCTTATTCCATAATGATCAAGTTTGTGGAGTAGGATGCTTGTGGTCTATTGTATCAAAAGCTTTCCTTAAGTCAATAAAGAGTCCTAATGGATACTTATTTTTTCAAGTGCTGTGTAAAGCAGGTCTAGCATTTCTACAATTGTGTCGTTTGTGCTTTTGCTTTTCCTGAAGCCAAATTGGCAGGGGTTGAGGATGCTTTGCACTGTTATAAAGGAATATAATCTCTTGTGCATGAGTTTCACGAAGATTTTGGATAGCAATGGTAAGTTCGATATTGGCCTGTAGTTGTTTACATCTGTGGGATCACCACCTATATGTATTGGTGAAACGCGTGCTATCTTGAGTAGTGTCAGGAAAGTGCTGGTTTATAGTGATTTGTTAAATAGTAATGAAATAGCAGGCAAAAGAACACGAGCCACTCGTTTGTACAATAATGGTGGGACTTGAGCCAGATTTCCTGATTTATTTTTAAGCAACTTAATAATCGTGGTGACTTCTGTGGGCTTGGTTGGTGCAAGATAGGAGGGTGGGAAATTCCTATCTAGGCAATCACTTGCTCAGGCATGGGTACCTGGGATTTTACTGGTGAGATTTGATCCTATGATCTCTAAGAGAGTAGGCATACTATCAAAAATATGGTACTATGTTCCACAATCAGCTCTCCTTGCACTGTATCATTCACTCATCTACCCTTATCTCACACATGGAATTTGTGCATGGGGATCAACAACATCAAATCACCTAAGGCCTCTAATAACCCAGCAAAAGGCAGCAGTAAGAATGATAACAAATTCCCACTCATGACAACATACTCCACCTCCATTCAAAAGTCTAAATTTGCTCACCATAAAGAACATCCACACTTATTCATGTGCCTAATACATACATAGAACAATACACGCAAATATAAACCCTCCACTCAAATTTCTCCTCACCAATCTTAAAAGGGCACACGACCATAACACAAGACACAGATCTTTTTTTTTTGATGTACCCTGTGTCCATATCACACTGTAAAAACTCTATGCACATAAAGGGCCCCAAAATCTGGAATTCATTACCAGAACATACTAAATTAACCAGGCCTGAAAATCAATTTAAGACTCTTCTAAAAAAACCACTTACTCGCCCAGGACTAAATAATAAACACTCAGTGTGAACATTCAAATGGTATAAAATACCGACAGGTTGTTAAGTAAGACACATATGCAACAGTTAGGTATCTTTATTTCTAAACATTTCACCTACACAGTAGGCTTCTTCAGTCGAGTACAAAAAAGTTGATAGAAGCAGAAGATACTTAGAGATGATGTAATCAGTCCATCACCCTTGAAGTTTTGAGGTGGTCAGTCCCTCAGTCTGGAGAAGAGTATTGTTCCATAGTCTGAAACAATATGGAGATGAAGTGACAGGATGGAGCAATACTCTTCTCCAGACTGAGGGACTGACCACCTCAAAACTTCAAGGGTGATGGACTGATTACATCATCTCCAAGTATCTTCTGCTTCTATCAACTTTTCTGTACTCGACTGAAGAAGCCTACTGTGTAGGCGAAACGTTTCGAAATAAAGATACCTAACTGTTGCATATGTGTCTTACCTAACAATAAACACTCAGTATTTAACATTACCAATAATTCTCCCAATTACTTAAATCTTAAAACTTCAAGACAACATACAGTAAATTGATCATCTTGTTTGTTATACATTGTACTGAGACAAATTTATACAACTATAATGCTTCAATATCGAAATGTTCAAATTTCATTGTTTCAAATACTCAGTTGTACTTCATATTGTAAATTGTTTATGGTAATTTTTACCACTGAACCTTTCATTGCTTGTTAATTTTAAGCCTGCCCATAATGCTCTGCATACAAGGGGCTTGTAGCATGTACACCCAACTACTATAATTCCTTCTACAACTATGTATCATGTCCAAATAAACTGTATGAATATGAAATATGAATAGTATATGAATATGGTTGAGAAAAGTCATTTATCTTGTTAACTGTATCAGTAGGCTGTAGTTGTATTTCATTCGGTTTAGTTAGGACAATATCCCTAGTTTTTTCCAGTTTGTGGGTGCCCAGAATCTGAGAGAGTGTCTTCCAGTCTTTTTTATATCTCTTGTTTCAGTGAATCTATTGGAGTAGTACAATTGCTTAGCCTTTCTTATTAGTTTGGTGAGGACTGATGCATAGTGTTTAATAATATCTTTGTTTATTAAGCCATGTCTGTATTGATTTTCATATTGATGTTTCTTATCATTGGATCTTAGTATGCTGTTAGTTAGCCATGGGCAACCTGGATGTTTATTTGTAATCTGTTTGGTTTTTATGGGACAATGTATGTTATATACAGTAGACTGTCAGTTAACACTGTAGTTACATTCCTGAAAATGCTGTGTTAGGTAAAACCATGTTAGTTGAACTGAAGAACTTATGGGAAAAATAGAGTTACATTCCTGGAAGCCCCCAAATCTTACAAAAATAAAAGGAATACGTAACTGTAGTTCATTGTCATGATGTATTATGTTGCTTTTACTGCTTAAGACTACAAATGCAACAGAAATAATAGTATTTTCTTCCCTTAAATTGTGGGTGCTGGTGTTTGTCAATGATTGTGAAGAGAGTGGAGAGTTATGCTGTGGCCCTACTGGGCTGAGGTAGATTACCTGGAGTTTACCTCGAGAGGGCTTCGGGGTCAACGCCCCCGCGGCACGGTCTGAGACCAGGCCTAATGGTGGATCAGGGTCTGATCAACCAGGCTGTTACTGCTGGCCGCACACAAGCTGACGTATGAACCACAGCCTGGTTGGTTAGGTACTGACTTTAGGTGCCTGTCCAGTGCCTTCTTGAAGACAGCCAGGGGTCTATTGGTAATCCCCCTTATGTATGCTGGGAGGCATTTGAACAGTCTTGGGCCCCAGACACTTATTGTGTTATCTCTCAGCGTATGTGCGGCGCCCCTGCTTTTCATTGGGGGAATGTTGCATCTCCTGCCGAGTCTTTTGCTTTCATATGGAGTGATTTTCATGTGCAGGTTTGGTACCAATCCCTCCAGGACCTTCCAAGTGTATATTATCATGTATCTCTCTCGCCTGCATTCGAGGGAATCCAGATCAAGGACCTTCAACCGTTCCCAGTAGTTTAGATGCCATATCACACTTATGTGTGCCGTGAAAGTTCTTTGTACACTCTCCAGGTCTGCAATGTCGCCAGCCATGAAGGGGGCCGTTAGTGTACAGCAGTATTCTAGCCTAGAGAGCACAAGCAATATGAAGAGAATCATCATGGGCTTGGCATTCCAAGTTTTGAAGGTTCTCATTATCCATCCCCTGAATTGAATTGAATTGAATTGAATTGAATCCTATCATTTTCCTAGCAGATGAGGTAGATGAGGTGGATGGTAGTGGTTCTGGTACTGAAGTCAATGGTTGTACTCGAGTGTGCATCTGTAATGAATTTCTGTTCTGTTTTACCCTGCAGTACATTATACAAATGACAGTAAGGCAACAGCTGCTCTAAACACCGTTTCAGGGTCCTCATTCAGTCATTCAGTAAGTTAGTCAAGTCATTCAGTCAGTCAAATCATTCAGCCAGTCAGTCAAGTCATTCAGTCCATGTCAGTCATTCAGTCAAGTTTATTCCAGTCATTCGTCCCAAGTCAGTAAGTCAGGTAAGTCAGCAAGTCATTCAGTCAAGTCAGTAAGTCATTCAGTCAAATCATTCAGTCAGTCAGTCACAAACTAATATTTACTTCATTTTGTGTACACAGTGACAATTCATTACGGCCACAGGTTATCCCTTGTCTTATATCTCTGTTCTCTTCATCAATTCTAAGACTTAAATGCTTAATCCTTTTCTTGCCGCTTTGAGCAACACTTGTATGCCTACTGGGTACCATGATTTCTTGGCAGATTTAAGATATGGCAATTAAAATACGTATGTAAAGAAACACAGTGAGCTTCCCGAGTATCCATCCTACACACATATGAACCAAACTGAAGGCTTCTTAGCTCCGGGACTAGTCTTATTGCAAACCTTTGCACTTTCTCTAGTTTCCTTATGTGCTTGGCTAGGTGTGGATTCCCAGCTGGTGCTGCATACTCCAATATAGGCCTAACTTACATGGTGTACTGGGTCTTGTGTGTGTGTGTCAGTGTGAGAGAGACCCTTCTCCTCCTGCATCAGGAATCATCACTTGAGTTAATTCTCTGTAGATTGAGGATTGGGTATACACATACACACCACCCATTGTTACTGACCTACAGGTCTCTGCTCCTTTCTGTATGACCTGTGGCATATACTGTAATTAACTGTTAAGTATATTTTAACTGTTTGCCCACAACCTAAGCCCTACTGCTTAAGGAGTTTTTTTTTTATATAATTATAAGGATACTTATAGAGAACTTTTAGAATCTATTTTTCTTACACTGATAATTTTCATGCTTTTCAACTGATGGTGTTTTTAATGTACCATATTTTCCGGCATATATGATACATGACAGAAGTATCGTGACGGTACATTAGTAGTCATATTCAAGGGCTAATTACCCTTTTACTTTATGCTGAAGCATAACTCAGAGCCAGTTGTTGACTCTGTCCTTGAGCATATAAGGTGCAGGGTGATTTTCCAAGACATTTTGTGGGGAAAATAAAGCGTGCCTCATATCCAGAAAATATGGTAATGTGATTGCATTTATTTTTGCTGCAATTTTTACTTTTATTACAAAGTTTCATCAATCTAAAGTGCATTTTGTAAATATTATTTCAGCTGAAGAGGCCCCATGATATGGTACAATGATATTGAGTCCATCTTAAGAAGCCAAGTGATTTGGCATCATAATATTGGTCCAAGTCATTGTTAAAGTAATAGTGGACCTACTTATGAGGATTCGACTTTAACTTATTGTAGTAATAATTTGTTCTTCTTCTCTGTGTCAGTGATCTGTGTAAAACATACGATGGAGACTTGATGGCAGTGAATCACCTCAATCTTGGGGTACCTTTAGGCGAGTGTTTTGGACTTCTTGGAATCAATGGAGCGGGCAAAACCACAACATTCAAGATGCTTACTGGGGACCTCCCAGTGTCCTCTGGTAATGCATTTGTGAATGGTTACAGCATCAGAACTGATCTGAAGAAGGTAGAAATCTTTACCTAATTATTTAATATTAAGAGAAAATTAAGAGATACATAATCAGTGCTGATTAAAATAAGGGTCAGATACTACAAGTGGGTCATAATAAGTGTGTATGCTCCTGGAGAAGAGAGGAATGTAGAGGAGAGCGAGAAATTTTGGGAGATGTTAAACGAGTGTGTTGGAACTTTTGAACCAAGTGAGAGAATAACTGTGGCAGGGGACCTAAATGTTACAGTAGGAGATATGTTTAGAGAGGGTGTGGTAGGTAAGTTTGGGGTGCCAAGTGTAAATGATAATGGGAGCCTTTGATTGAACTTTGTATAGAAAGGGGTTTGCTCATAGGTAATACATATTTTAAGAAAAAAAGAATAAGTATACAAGATATGATATAAGGTGTGATGACAGTAGTTTATTGGACTATGTATTCGTAAATAAAAGGCTGTTGGGTAGACTTCAGGATGTAAATGTTTATAGAGGGGCCATCGATATATCAGATTACTTTTTAGTTGTAGCTACAGTGAGAGTAAAAGGCAGATGGGATACAAGAAGAATGGAAGCAGCAAGAGAGAGGTGAAGGTTTATAAACTAAAGTAAGAGGCAGTTAGGATAAGATACAAACAACTATTGGAGGATAGATGGGCTAGTGAGAGTATAGGCAGTGGGGTAGAAGATATATGTATGGGGTAAGTTTAAGAATATAGTGTTAGTGTTCAGCGGAAGTTTGTGGGTGCGGGAGGGAAGAAGAGCAATTGGCGGAATGATGAGGTAAAGAGAGTAGTAAGAGAGAAAAAGTTAGCATATTAGAGGTTTTTACAAAATAGAAGTGATACAAGGAGGGAGGAATACTGTATATGGAGAGAAAAAGAGAGGTTAAGAGAGTGGTGAAGGAATGTAAAAAAGAGAGCAAATGAGAGAGTGGGTGAAATGTTATCAACAAATTTTGTCAAAAATAAGAAAAAGTTTTGTAGTGAGATTAATAAGTCGAGAAAGCCTAAGGAATGAATGGATTTGACAGTTAAAAATAGGAGAGAAGAGTTGTTAAATGGAAAGTTAGAGGTATTGGGAAGATGGAGGGAGAAGTTTGAGGAATTGTTAAATGTTGATGAGGATAGGAAAACTGATTTTGTGTGTTGGGCAGGGAGGAATAACATCTTGTAGGAGTGAGGAAGAGCCAGTAGTGAATGTAGGAGAAGTGCATTAGGCAGTGGGTAGAATGAAAGGTGGTAAACCAGGTGGGATTGATGGGATAAAGACAGAAATGTTAAAAGCAGAGGGGAAGATATAGTTCTGAAATGGTTAGTTCTTTTATTTAATAATTGTATGGAAGAGGGTAAGGTACCTAGGGATTGACAGAGAGCTTGCATAGTTCCTTTGTATAAAGGCAAAGGGGTCAAAAGAGAGAGTAAAAATTATAGGGAATAAGCCTGTTGAGTATACCTGGTAAAGTGTATGGTAGAGTTATTATTGAAAGAATTAAGAGTAAGACAGGGAGTAGGATAGCAAATGAACAAGGAGGCTTTAGGAAGGGTAGGGGTGTGTAGACCAAGTGTTTACAGTGAAACATATAGGTGAACCACGTTTAGATAAGAGTAAAGAGGTTTTTGTGGCATTTATGGATTTGGAAAAGGCATATGATAGGGTGGATAGGGGGCACTGTGGCAGATGTATGGAATATGAGATAGGTTGCTGAAAGCAGTGAAGAGTGTTTATAAAGATAGTGAGGCTCAGATTAGGGTACGTAGGAGAGAGGGATATTATTTCCCAGTAAAAGTAGGCCTTAGACAGGGATGTGTGATGTCACCATGGTTGTTCAATATATTTATAGATGGGGTTGTCAGAGAAGTGAATGCTTGGTGTTGGCAAGAGGCGTGGGCTTAAAAGATAAAGAATCTATTACAAAGTTGCAGTTGTCATTGTTGCTTAAAAGTGAATATAGGAAAGAGTAAGCCGATGAAGATAATAAAAAATTTAGGTAATGAAAGTTTGGATATCAGATTGGAGAGAGGGAGTATGGAGGAGGTAAATGTATTTAGATTTCTGGGAGTGGATGTGGCAGCAGATGGGTCTATGAAAGATGAGGTGTATGAATCATGGGTGGTGAATGTTGCAACAAGGAGAAGGCTGGAGGCAGTGGAGATGACATGTCTGAGGGCAATGTCTGTTGTGAATATTATTCAGAGAATCCATAGTTTGGAAATTAGGAGGTGTGGGGTTACTAAAAGCATTATCCAAAGGGTTGAAGAGGGGTTGTTGAGGTATTTCGGACATTTACAGAGAATGGAATGAAATAGAATGACCTGGAGAGCGTACAAATCTGTAGTGGAAGGAAGGCGGGGCAGGGGTTGGCCTAGAAAAGGTTGGAGGGAGGGAGGGGTAAAGGAGGTTTTGTGTACAAGGGGCTTGGACCTCCAGCAAGCATATATGAGCATGTTAGATAGGAGAGAGTGGAGACAAATGGCTTTTTAGACTTGACATGCTCTTGGAGTGTGAACAAGGTAACATTTATGAAGGGATTCAGAGAGAGCAGCAAACCAGACTTAAGTCCTGGAGGTGGGAAGCACAGTGTCTGCACTCTGAAGGAGGGATGTTAATGTTCCAGTTTTATAACTGTAGTGTAAGTGCGCCTCTGGCAAGAAAGTAATGAAGTGAATGATGAAAGTTTTTCTTTTTCGGGCCACCCTGCCATGGTGGGAAATGGCTGATGTGTTAATAAATAATAAAAATAAATAATTAATATTAATTTAGGCAAAGTACAATTTTATTTAGTATGTAGAATGTTATATATGTACAGAATACAGTGTACAAATTGAACAGTCAGCAACTTTATTTCTGAGTGAAAATGGCTCAAAGCCTGAAGAATGTTGTTCATTGTAACAGATTAGAAGTAAGTTTATATACATATATACATAGTTTAGTCAAAGAAGAGCTCACTATATCTTAATAAGTATCATGTGTTATTCTTTATAATCATTTTTATATATTTCTGCATTTTTAATATTTTTTATACTATATTGCACTTCGTATTTAATTCCCTAGAAAAACTTGCGACTCCACAGTTCAGAGGAAATAGGATACTGCCACAGTTTGATGCACTTCATGATCATATGAACTGGTAGAGAGTCATTCCATGTTGCAGTCTTCGTGGTGTTCCTAGTGCAAATTGATGAAATTTATCACCAGTCTTGCGGAGCAACTTCTTGTTCACCATAGATAACTGTTTGAAACTACAGGTAAGCAAGTTTACTTATTTTAATCTCATTCACAGTATACAGCTAGTTTAGCTCATTACATGAAAATTCAGTGAAATCTTAATTTGCAAAAATATACTGATACAGAAATATTTATGCAAATAGGTATAGAGAACTATATTTGCAAATTTACAGTGAGGAAAAAGTAGTACCTTATGATATTTTTAGTTTTTATTTTTTTTTTTGTCTGTGTTACTATAGAAAAAAATCTTAAATTATAATATTTTTGAAGTATGAAAAATTATAAAACACACTAAAAATAGTGACTTGGTGAAAGACCTGTTATTGGGTGGACCTCTAGAGTGCCGGATTAGTGATCTTGCTGGATTACAGAGTGGTGAGGTTAGAATACACTTAACCCAACAGCTTACCACCTCATGCTACCTTTAAAATACCCCCATAAATCAGTACAAGTTGGTTAACTCTTTCACTGTTGCAATCCCTGCTTGCAAACATGCTCCCAGTGTCAAAGAATTAAAAAAAAAATATTTTATCTTATAAAATGATAGAGAATCTTTCTTTGAATGTTTTGAAACCAAAAGTATGAAATTTGATGGAAAATTCATATACAGTAATTATGCTCTCGCAAAGTTAGCGGTTTCAGCAATATTTATGAATTGGCGATTTCGCCCACTTTACATCCTTATTTTTGGCTAATTCCATTGTTCCAGCCGACCAAACTCATAGCTATTTCACTAGTATTCCTTCTGTTCTGTTGACTGAATAAACAAAGCCACCCATTTACCTATTTCAGCTACACAGTAAAGTAACCAGAAATCGTTAATTTGGCCAATTTCACACAAATTTCAAGAGATGCCAATTTGAAAACGGTGTCCAGAATAAACAGTGCAGACATTCCAGGCACTATAATAACATTTTCACTGTTCATTAGTAATGTCTCCAAGCCCCTCTTATATTATGCTTGCTTTTCATTCTGAATTTTTATTCACACACACAAAAAAATAGAAGATTTACTGATATGCAGACTACTGCATTATTGTAATAATTGTATAAATAATGTCAACCCATTCATGACCACATATTAGACAGGCCAGTTGGACATATTGGACACGTGACGTGATTTGTTTATTCTTGAACATCAGCAAAAATCAAACATTTCCGCTACTTTGAGCTTGATTTCATGGTACTTTCCATCCTGAAACCAATCAAAATGATCTCTGTTTCTGTAATGTATCTTCTATTCTATCAAATGAGACCAAAAAACTGAGAATACAACCACAAAACTATATGAAAATACACCACAAAGTCACTGTTTTACACCAAAGACTGGGTTGCAGTTTTTTTTTTCATTATGCACTGTGTGCTGCAGGATTTTTTTAAATAGTGCACACTTACTACATAGATATATTCTCTCATATCTAGGCCCAGATTTACCAGTCATAGCTTATCTGAGTGAACTGAGCTCATGGCATTATACTACGGGACCAACAGTGGCTTCAGTGGGACTGACAATGAAAGGGGTTAATAAAGTTAACTAATTTGACTTACACAAGAAAGTTCAACACTGCCACTTCCAAAGCGAAGATCTGAAATTTATAACTCTGCATCTTCACTTACATGTAGCCTAAACTACTTCATCACAACTTGATCTAGTTCTGAACTTTTTCCTTCCTTCATTGTTTTCCTTTTACACATCCATTTCTTTGAATCACTGTTAACAAAGAAACCAAGTAATTTTTCATAAACTGTCGAAGAGCCAGTGCTGTATAAATCACACAAACTTCTCACAGACACACTGTTGTCGAGTTTTTTCAGAAGCTCAACCATATCTCTTATGGAAAATATACAGTGTTTGTGCTTTACACAATGAGAAGCATTTCCTTTATTCATTGGAACCATGGCTGGGGTTAAAGTGAACAGGTTATAACAATAAATGGAGAAAAACAAATTGGAATGGCTAGCCTGTGTTTCCAAGTGACACCAATAGTGTTTATGCAACAAGTAGCAACAGGTTGTTGAGATGACCTGGGAAATTTGAAATTACGCTAGCCAAAATTAGTGCCGGATTAGTGATGGAACCAGATTAATGATTGCTGGATCAGTGATGGCCAATCTGTAGTTCATGGTATGTCTTACAGAAAGTAGTTCTTTATATTTCAGAATTTTATATTCTGTGTTTAGGTATCATGATCCTCTCAAAGACTTCTTCCACTAGTACATATTTTATGGAAGAGGCAGCCAAAGATAGGAGGTAAACTCTAAATACTGTCTCACTGAGATGGGAAACCAGTATTCTGGATTATTTTAGACAACCAAGTACTAGGAAGGTTCATCGGTCTAAATGCAAATAGAAAAATCTCATATTACAGGCCCAGGGCAAAGTCTTGCATCCTAAAGAATAAAGTCATAATACAGTTAGTTCTCTTATATGAAAAAGTGCATCTAAAATTTAATAGTATGTGGATGAACTTTTTTAATTATCTTATACAGTAGCATTTTCCAAAAATTCACTGCATGGAATAATGTACAAAAATCCTGCACTTAGAAGAAGAAACTTGTTATGACTTTCCAGTCCGCTCTGGACTATTACTTGACAATAGTCCAGGACGAACCAGAGCATCGTCATAAGTTTTCTCTCCTAAGTGTGGGTTATTTGCGAATCCTGCATCCTAAGTAAGAGATCTGCATTAGTCTGTTTCCCAGTTATCCAGAAAAAATCCTAATTATTGCATCTGTAGTCATGTTGATGATCAGACAATATATCAAGCAACTATACATGTTTATATTCTAATAGATTTGCTGAATAAAAAAGCAGGTACCTGATAGTTGCAATAGGACCCATAGACATGATACTAGGCACAAAAATCTCTTTGACATTTCCTGTGTCCAGTTAAATCTCTTTAAAAATTCAATGTACATAAAGGGGCCCAGAATCTGGAGCTCTCTGCCAGAAATCTCCAGAACTACTAACTCAGCCAGCATTTTCAAAACTTTCTTTCTTTCTTTCTTTCAACACACCGGCCGTATCCCACCGAGGCGGGGTGGCCCAAAAGGAAAAATAAAGTTTCTCCTTTTACATTTAGTAATATATACAGAGAAGGGGTTACTAGCTCCTTGCTCCCGGCATTTTAGTCGCCTCTTACAACACGCATGGCTTACGGAGGAAGAATTCTGTTCCACTTCCCCATGGAGGAAAGAGGAAATAAACAAGAACAAGAACTAGAAAGAAAATAGAAGAAAACCCAAAGGGGTGTGTATATATATGCTTGTACATGTATGTGTAGTGTGACCTAAGTGTAAGTAGAAGTAGCAAGACATACCTGAAATCTTTCATGTGTATGAGACAGAAAAAAAAAGACACCAGCAATCTTACCATCGTGTAAAACAATTACAGGCTTCAGTTTTACACTCACTTGGCAGGATGGTAGTACCTCCCTGGGCGGTTGCTGTCTACCAACCTACTACCTAGAATTTTCAAAACTACCATTAAAAAAAAAAATCTTATCTCCCTAACATATCACCTCTTCTAGTACTATTTGAATATTTAAAGTTTGTCTATACTTAAGTAGTCTTTAAGTACAGTGGACCCCCGCTTTACGATCAGCTCCCAATGCGACCAATTATGTAAGTGTATTTATGTAAGTGCATTTGTATGTGTATGTTTGGGGGTCTGAAATGGACTAATCTAATTCACAATATTCCTTATGGGAACAAATTCGGTCAGTACTGGCACCTGAACATACTTCTGGAATGAAATAATATCATAAACCGGGGGTCCACTGTATTAGGTTAAGTCTGCCCGAAATGCCTCGGCATGATAGTGGCTTTCTTTGTACCAATCAAATTATGAAATGTAAACACACATTGTAACCTTTGCAAAGAAATAAACTTTTCTTTTGTTTGTATTATATATAATACATTGGTACCCTGAGTTTCGTACAGCTCCCAACTCGAACAATTATGTAAGTGTATTATTGTAAGTGCTTTTGTAAGTGTATTTTTGGGGGGTCTGAAATGGACTAATCTAATTTACATTGTTCGTTATGGGAATAAATGCATTTGGTAATGAATTTATTCCCATAACAGCCTTCTGGAATGAATTATGGCCGAAACTCGGGGTACCACTGTATGTCTGTTTCAAAATTACCACTTATAGTTTTGGTTATATTTTCTGATTTCTTTGGTTATTATTTCTTGTCAAGTGGAGGAAACAAGCGCAAGCTAAGCACTGGTGTGGCTCTGATAGGTGATCCTCCACTTGTGCTACTTGATGAACCTTCATCAGGAATGGATCCTGTAGCACGAAGATTACTCTGGGATGTCCTGGCATCTGTTCGGGATTCTGGCAGGAGCATTATACTCACTTCTCATAGGTAAATACAATATTCTTTATGTACAAATGATTTGTGTGACATGTTTATTTTATATCATCTCCCCTATCTGTTGCATTTTCAACAGAACTTATTCATTTCTTTGTAAAATTTTACATATTTTTACAAAACAATTAATTTTCTCTTTCATTTTTTACCCTGTCTTAATCTTTTACCTTGCTTCAGGTATATTCCGGTATTGCAGGAAATTTCTTTTTATATATTTTATATATATTCCCTACTCTTCTTAATCCTTTCACTGGCCATCATGTTGAACTATGGATGAATGTTGTCGTATTGATGGTATGTGGGGGGGGAGGGCTTTGTTTGCTGGCACTAATATCTGTTGTTTTGGGGTGGAGGCCAATGACTGTGCCTCCACTCTAGAAGTGATTTCAGTTGGTGTACAATTTCTGTCATTTCTTGCCAGTTTTTTCATTTATGGCTTTAAGCTCAGGGTCTTCCATGTAGAACTATACGTAAATTTTAGCAGCTTCAAATTTAGGTAGGCCTACGTATGAGAGAATGGGTCTGGTTGGTCAAGGTGAGCAGTATACAAAAATTCAGGGTGCCCACAGTTCATTGTGGGAACAGCATATTCAGTACCCTCTGTTCACCATGCCTGGTGGTCAGAAAACCCTCAGTCCCAGGCGAATTGAACATCCTCTCCCAAGTGACAGTTTTAACAGTGAGATATATGGAAGTGAAGATGAGTTTCGTGGTTTTGAACTTTTAGTGACAAAGTGATGCTCAGTGATGCTGATGCTGAAAACCCTGATGACCCACAACCATTGATTTCTCGGGCTGGTTCCTATGAGACACATCTATCTCTACAGTGCTGTAAGCAAAAGCTCATATTCTCCCATGGCCTGGGCTCAGATGTGAGTAATGGTGATAGTGCTTTGGATTTGGATTTCCTGTCTATCGATGACTACTTGAGTAGTGACAGTGATGAATAATATTCTCCGGTGAAGTGTCACTTTATATGGCAGCGCATGCAGTCTGGTAGTGCGCCATATGCTATCCCAAGAGGAAACACATTAGTGTTAAGCTGTCTGTGTTGTGTGATTGTGAATCTGGTCTGATATTGAATCTGATTGTGCACACAGGAAGCAAAACACTGAAATATACCTGGAATTGGGTATCTCAGGTGATGAGGTGGGAACAGTGATGGAACCATATCTTGGTAAGGGGCATACATTATACACAGATAGCTGGTATATAAGCCTCTTAGTGATTTCCTGTTTGTGAACATGAGATGTGTGTGGTACAGTGCATGGTACATGTAAACATATGCCCAGGTTCAATGCAGGCACTGGTGCTAATGAGGTGCAGATGTTTCATGCCAAAGACATTGTGACATTCTTGACATCGACTCACCACGACAAAAATGAAAGACAATGGAAGGGTAAATAGAGACACCAATGAACCCATTCTGAAACCTGCGGCTATCCTTGATTACACCAGTAATATTCATTTGGTGGATATATATATGACATGAAGAGTGGATCCGATGATTGCAAGAGTTATAAGTGGTACATGAAACTCTTCTTCCATCTCATGGACATTTCAGTGCTCAGTGTATTTAATATGTACCAAATGAGGACTGGCAACAGACCACCATATGCCCACTTGTTCATCTATCATCAGGCAAATACATGTAATATGGAAATACCAGGTCAAAACGCCTGAAGTATGCTTGCGCCCCCTAGCTGTTCACCAATTACCCTTAAGTTTGAGACATGATGATCACTTCCTAACAACACTTCCTGCTACAGAGAAGAAGAAATGGGCTCAGAAGAGTTGTTACGTCTGTGCACACACAAAAAGATGCCCACAAAAGTGCAAAGACATGTTTAATGTGTGAGGAGTGTAAAACATTGCTGTGTATGATGCTGTTTCAAAAACTTCCACAGACTGCAGGAGTTCTATGAACATGTCCAGTGCTTGTGTATATGTATGTAAATATTAGTACAGTAATGTGAAACATTATTACCTGTGTTTGCTTTGTAAACAAGTTTTGTAAACAATATATAGATGACACTATTAGTGCAGGTATTGTGTTGCACACAATGGGTGGGTATGTACATTTGCATTTTATGGGTTTCACAGGCCACAAAAGTTACTGGAAAATGTAAAAAAATAGAAAACCCGAAGGAAAAAAGAACAAAAATAATTTTAAAAAATGCAGAGTGCATGGCAGTTGACAGTGTTGCCATCAGCCAGTCATCAACTGTCAACTTCATGCCTCTATATCTTGTTAAGTAATGCTGGGAAAATTTATTTTTTATTTTATTACCACCACAAAAATATACTCTTGTAATCTATAAGATTTGTTTTTTGTTTTTTTTTTTTTTTTGAACATTGAGGGCAAATTTTATTATGGGGATCTGGATAGTGAAAGGGTTAAACCCTTAACTTTGGCATACCCAGAAATAAAAATTCCTGTGTGTATGGAAAGATTTTGAAAAAAAAATTCTCTTATAGAGTGAAGGAGTGCATTTTTCTGAATCAAATAAGACTAAAATGAGTGAAATCTGATAAAACCTTACAATTTTATAGTGTGTTGAGGCAAAAACTATACAATCTTAATGAATCTTAACTAGTCATAAGTTGGCCTGTGATACTCCAATACTGAAACTATGTATAGCCAAAACAAAAGCATTCACATTGCTAAACTCACAAACTAGTATTTAGTCACTTAGCCATAATACCAACTTACTTCATAATTTTGTAATATTTTAAACTTAAGATTTAATTTAAGTCTGCCAGAAATGCCTAGCCATGCTAGGTGTTCTAGTGGTACACTCTGTAATTATTATTTTACTACATGTAAACCACACAATAACCAAATTCTGTAAACTCAGCATTGTAATCCTTATAGAGAATAAACTTTGAATTTGAATTTGAACGTGATCACTCATCGGCAACAGCAACATAAATGTGCCAGTGATATTTACATTTTACAATTTATTGGCTTAAAGATATGATTGTTTTTATGTTTTTTTTAATTGTTTTTAATGTTTAATGCTATGTACAATAGTTTCTTATGATATTAGATGTAGTACAGTGGTATCTCGAATTTCAAACAGCTCCTAACTTGAACAATTATGTAAGTGTATATTTGTAAATGCTTTTGTAAGTATATTTTTTGGGGTCTGAAACAGACTAACTCAATTTACATTATTCCTTATGGGAACAAATTCGTTTGGTATCAGCACTCAAACAGCCTTCTGGAACGAATTAAGTTTGTAACTCGAGATACCACTGTATTAAGAGGTGTTTTAGCACTTCAAACATGGGGAAATACTTAAACCAACAATGCTACACTTGGAATATATTGTACATATGCTGTATAATTGATTCTTATTCTTTATACAGTGGAACCTCAAATATCGAACTTTCTTCGGTACAGAAGGCTGTTCGAGTGCCTTTACCGAATGAATTTATTCCCATCAGGAATAATGTAAATTAGATTAGTCCATTTCAGACCCGCAAAAATAAACTTATAAAAGAACTTACAAAAATACACTTACATAATTGGTCGTGTTGGGAGCAGTTCAATTTTTGAGGTTCCACTGTATTATTTTGATCTCACATTGTGTACAACTGCTTTCCCAACACAGCTTTACTTATCACTGTTTCCCAACACAGCTATACCTCTCACTGCTTCCCCAACACAACCTTACTTCTCACTGCTACACTACTTCCTCAACACAGCTTTACTTCTGGTACACTTGAAAAATTTTCTAGGTAGGCTAGCTGGTTTACTAAGTTTACTAAGTTTACTAAGTTTACTAGTTTACTAAAAATGTGTTTTGATGTACGAGATAGCACATAAGTGTCAAGGGCCCGTGACTGTTCAACTGCCTCCTAGCATATGTAAAGGAAATTACCAGTAGTCCCCTGACTGTCTTCAAGAGGGAGCTGGACAGGCACCTAAAGTCAGTACCTGACCAGCTGAGCTATGGTTCATATGTTGGATTTCATGCAACCCATAAAAATAGCCTGGTTGATCAGACTGATCCACCGTAAGGCCTGGTCATGGACTGAGCCGTGAGGGTGTTGACCTCTAGAACACCCTCCAGATATACTCCAGGTATACCTAAAGTTTGGTGATAGTTGTGGATTTCCTCTCATCTGTGAAGCCTTAAGATATAACAACTTCTATCTTATGTCTGGGGTTAAGCAAAAACATGATTATTTGAAAGTAGTATACCCAGTCTTATGGCCGAGGGCAACTTATGACTGATAATATACTGTAATATATTTCATCCCATTGGTGTAGTAAATTACTGTTCCACCTCTGTTTTGGTAAGGTCTGTCTTAATGTATGGTTGTATACCAAGGCATATTGTATGTCTGCCTCAACAGTATTAGACTTTCCACTTCAAATAAGGTACAAATAAGGTAGCTTACATGTAATATAACATTGGTAGGCACAAAAGAAAGCCATTAATTATGCAGTGCATTGCGAGGCAACTAATCCTAATGTTTAAATGGTACTGAACATAAGATTTAGACTATTGAGTAGAACTTCTTATACAGTTAACTATAATCACAAGTACAGTAAGATGACAGCTAATGAACAATGGTCATTTACAAAAGTTTTACATATTTCAAACTGATTCAGTGAGCTTCAGTTTTGTGGGGTGATTAAATAGAGTTGGTGAAAATACAGCAAGTTAGAAAAGAGGATACAGTTAGATGCAGGCTGGACATTTGACTCACTAGTTGACAAGCAGTTCAGTGCAGCATGAGAGTAGACATGAATGCAGCATGAGAGTAAACAATGTGGGCTGTCAGGCTCTTATGAAACAGGTATCAGGTAGGGAAGAGAGAGGTCAGGGAGCAGTGATAGGCAGTCAGGGAATAGAGGCATGGAGGGCTGTAAGGAAAATAAGGATCAGGAAGGAAAGATATGGGTCAGTTAAGAAAGACAGGAAGTAGGGAGGAAAGGTGGAGAGGAGGGAGCAAAAGACAGAGGTCAGGAATGATAGATAAGTGTTATGTAAGACAAGATAAAAGTCGCATAGGAAAGGTAGGAGTCCATTAGAAAACATAAAGGAATTAGGGATTAAAGATAGAGGATCAGGCAGGAAAGGAGAGCAGGGAATTCAGATATTTGTGTATTAACATATTTGTGTGTTGTACACTCTCAGCATGGAAGAGTGTGAGGCGCTCTGCACTCGTCTGGCCATCATGGTCAATGGCAAGTTTTGCTGTTTAGGCTCACCACAGCACTTGAAGAGCAAGTTCAGTGATGGATACTCCGTCAACATCAGGTAAAAACCATCACATAGTATTATTATTATTATTATTATTATTATTATTATTATTATTATTATTATTTATTTTATTTTATTATCACACTGGCCGATTCCCACCAAGGCAGGGTGGCCCGAAAAAGAAAAACTTTCACCATCATTCACTCCATCACTGTCTTGCCAGAAGGGTGCTTTACACTACAGTTTTTAAACTGCAACATTAACACCCCTCCTTCAGAGTGCAGGCACTGTACTTCCCATCTCCAGGACTCAAGTCCGGCCTGCGGTTTCCCTGTAAACCCCTTCATAAATGTTACTTTGCTCACACTCCAACAGCACGTCAAGTATTAAAAACCATTTGTCTCCATTCACTCCTATCAAACACGCTCACGCATGCCTGCTGGAAGTCCAAGCCCCTCGCACACAAAACCTCCTTTACCCCTCTCCTCCAACCTTTCCTAGGCCGACCCCTACCCCGCCTTCCTTCCACTACAGACTGATACACTCTTGAAGTCACACTGTTTCGCTCCATTCTCACTACATGTCCGAACCACCTCAACAACCCTTCCTCAGCCCTCTGGACAACAGTTTTGGTATCCCGCACCTCCTCCTAACTTCCAAACTACGAATTCTCTGCATTATATTCACACCACACATTGCCCTCAGACATGACATCTCCACTGCCTCCAGCCTTCTCCTCTCTGCAACATTCATCACCCATGCTTCACACCCATATAAGAGCGTTGGTAAAACTATACTCTCATACATTCCCCTCTTTGCCTCCAAGGACAAAGTTCTTTGTCTCCACAGACTCCTAAGTGCACCACTCACCCTTTTCCCCTCATCAATTCTATGATTCACCTCATCTTTCATAGACCCATCCGCTGATACGTCCACTCCCAAATATCTGAATACATTCACCTCCTCCATACTGTCTCCCTCCAATCTGATATCCAATCTTTCATCACCTAATCTTTTCGTTATCCTCATAACCTTACTCTTTCCTGTATTCACTTTTAATTTTCTTCTTTTGCACACCCTACCAAATTCATCCACCAATCTCTGCAACTTCTCTTCAGAATCTCCTAAGAGCACAGTGTCATCAGCAAAGAGCAACTGTGACAACCCCCACTTTATGTGTGATTCTTTATCTTTTAACTCCACGCCTCTTGCCAAGACCCTCGCATTTACTTCTCTTACAACCCCATCTATAAATATATTAAACAGCCACGGTGACATCACACATCCTTGTCTAAGGCCTACTTTTACTGGGAAATAATTTCCCTCTTTCCTACATACTCTAACTTGAGCCTCACTATCCTCGTAAAAACTCTTCACTGCTTTCAGTAACCTACCTCCTATACCATACACCTGCAACATCTGCCACATTGCCCCCTATCCACCCTGTCATACGCCTTATCCAAATCCATGAATGCCACAAAGACCTCTTTAGCCTTATCTAAATACTGTTCACTTATATGTTTCACTGTAAACACCTGGTCCACACACCCCCTACCTTTCCTAAAGCCTCCTTGTTCATCTGCTATCCTATTCTCTGTCTTACTCTTAATTCTTTCAATAATAACTCTACCATACACTTTACAGGTATACTCAACAGACTTATCCCCCTAAAATTTTTGCACTCTCTTTTGTCCCCTTTGCCTTTATACAAAGGAACTATGCATGCTCTCTGCCAATCCCTAGGTACCTTACCCTCTTCCATACATTTATTAAATAATTGCACCAACCACTCCAAAACTATATCCCCACCTGCTTTTAACATTTCTATCTTTATCCATCAATCCCGGCTGCCTTACCCCCTTTCATTTTACCTACTGCCTCACGAACTTCCCCCACACTCACAACTGGCTCTTCCTCACTCCTACAAGATGTTATTCCTCCTTGCCCTATACACGAAATCACAGCTTCCCTATCTTCATCAACATTTAACAATTCCTCAAAATATTCCCTTCATCTTCCCAATACCTCTAACTCTTCATTTAATAACTCTCCTCTCCTATTTTTAACTGACAAACCCATTTGTTCTCTAGGCTTCCTTAACTTGTTAATCTCGCTCCAAAACTTTTTCTTATTTTCAACAAAATTTGTTGATAACATCTCACCCACTCTCTCATATTATTATTATTATTATTATTATTATTATTATTCTTTCTTTCTTTCAACACACCGGCTGTATCCCACCGAGGCGGGGTGGCCCAAAAGGAAAAACAAAAGTTTCTCCTCTTGCATTTAGTAATATATACAGGAGAAGAGGTTACTAGCCCCTTGCTCCCGGCGTTTTAGTCGCCTCTTACAACACGCATGGCTTACGGAGGAAGAATTCTGTTCCACTTCCCCATGGAGGTATTATTATTATTATTATTATTACTATTATTATATTTAAGTGGAAGTAATAAACAAATAGGAATCATGTGGTGGCACCTGCAGACTGAAAGGTTATCAGGTTTGATCTAAGGATCAAGATCCCTGCACTATCATTAAGCCACTTCTTTGAAGGGATCATTAGCAAATATATATTCACCCTATTCATTATTGATACATGAAGAGTTACTGCATATGAATTCATTATAGTACATGGCAATCCCTTCCCCATTTGATTAGGCCTGCAGCTATGAAATGTTTTCTCCCAAATTTCGTACTACAGTAGACCGTTGTTTAACATAGTAGTTACGTTCCTGAAAACGCCGTGTCAGTTAAAAACCATGTTAGACAAACTGAAGAACTTATGAGAAAAATATAGTTACGTTCCTGGAAGCCTCAAAAAGGCCGAACTACTTTTTTTTTAGACCTGATCGTACAAAAATAAAAGTGAAATGTAATTGTAGTTCATTGTCATGATGTATTATGTTGTTTTTACTGCTTAAGACAACAACTGTAACAGAAATAATAATATTTCTTACTTTGAATTGTGGGTGCTGGTGTTTGTGGATGATTGTGAAGAGAGTGGAGAGTTATGCTGTGGCCCTACTGGGCTGAGGTGGATGGTAGAAGTTCTGGTACTGAATTCGATGGTTGTACAGGACTGTGCATGAATTCTGTAATGGATTTCTGTTCTATTTTACCCTGCAGTACATCATACAACTGACAGTAAGGCATCAGCTGCTCTAGACACCATTTTAGGGTCCTCTTCAGTGAAAAAGTCTAACTTTAAGTCAGTCAGTCAAGTCAGTCAGTCAAGTCAGTAAATCAATAAAGTTAGTCAAATCATTCAGTAAGTTGGTCAGTCAGGTCAGTCAGTCAAGTCAGTAAATCAAGTAAGTCAAGTAAGTCTGTCAGTCAAGTCAGTAAGTTGGTCAGTAAATCAGTAAAGTAAGTCAAGCCAGTCAGTCAGTAAGTCAAGTCAGTCAGGTAAGTCAGTCAGTCAGTCAAGTAAGTCTGTCAGTCAAGTAAGTCAGTTATTCATCACACAAACTCGTATACAGTAGGGCCCTGCTTTGTGGCGTTCCGCTAATACGGACCAAAACTCACTATACAACTCCCCCCCCACCTGACTTTCTAATACGGTCACCACACACCCCACCCGGTTTGTTTACATTCTTCGTGAGCTCCGTGAGCACTGCATCTCTCCATTATGTGTGGAAACTTTCCAAAATTTCAAGTGTTTTTAAAAGTTATTTCATATATATATATATATATATATATATATATATATACAGTGGACCCCCGCATAGCGAACGCCTTGCATAGCGAACAATCCGCATAGCGAACGCTTTGTTCTCTGAAATTTTGCCCCGCATAGTAGACAAAAACCCGCTCAGCGAACTTCGTCCGAGACGCGTCCAATGTGGGCCCTCAGCCAGCCTCACATGTGCCGGCCGTCCCATTGTTTACCAGCTAGCCTCCGCGGTAACATTCAAGCATACACTCGGAATATTTCGTATTATTACAGTGTTTTCGGTGCTGTTTCTGGAAAATAAGTGACCATGGGCCCCAAGAAAGCTTCTAGTGCCAACCATGTGGTAAAAAGGGTGAGAATTAGTATGGAAATTAAGAAAGATTTTGAAGGGTTGGGCTAACCCTGAGAAGCCTATGCCAGTTGTGGAATCCATTGTGCCTACTTCAAAAATTAAGGAAATGTGTGCACAGTGGGTTGAACTGCAAACCTTTATGGATGAAAATCACCCTGACACAGCTGTTGCAAGCCGTGCTGGTGACTATTTCAATGACAATGTTATGGCCCATTTTAGGAAAGTCTTGAAGGAACGGGAGGTACAGAGCTCTATGGACAGATTTGTTGTGCGACAGAGGTCCAGTGACTCTCAAGCTGGTCCTAGTGGCATTAAAAGAAGAAGGGAAGTAACCCCAGAAAAGGACTTGCTACCTCAAGTCCTAATGGAAGGGGATTCCCCTTCTAAACAGTAAGAAGATAATGCTCTCCCCTCCTCCCATCCCATCAATCATCACCAGATCTTCAATAAAAGTAAGTGTCATGTAATTGTGCATGCCTTTTTCAGTTTGTGTGTACTAAAATTAACATTTTTTTGTGGTAAAAAAATTTTTTTTTCATACTTTTGGGTGTCTTGCACGGATTAATTTTATTTCCATTATTTCTTATGGGGAAAATTAATTCGCATAGCGAACATTTCGCATAACGACCAGCCCTCTTGCACGGATTAAGTTCGCTATGCGGGGGTCCACTGTATATATATATATATATACGTATTCTGATAATTATACTTACGTATACCTGTACCTAAATAAACTTACACACTGTGCTGGCATGCAGATAGACATTCAAATCATTAAGAGTATCTTATATCTTGAGACACCATAATAGTAATAATAATACAGTGGAACCTCTACTTACGAGTGCGTCCACGTGTGAGTTTTTCCAGATACGAGCGGTCGCTCAGTTGATTTTTTGCTTCCAGACGCTAGCAAAATTTCCAGATGCGAGCAGGCCTCAAGGGAGGTTCCTTGATGCTGGTGAGGGGCTCTTGCTTTTGATCTAGGGAACTGGATCTCTGTTGTTTGTTGGACTATCTTATTGAAACTTG